GATTTTATTTTTCTTCACACTCAGTGTTATTTTATTGCTTTTGTGGCTCCCATGATCTTTTATGAGAGATCAGCTATAAACTTTATTATTATTCCCCTTAATGTTGGTGAGTCATGTTTCTCTGGTTGCTTTCATGTTTTTTTCCTGTCTTTGACTCACAGTAATTTGATTATGGTATGTGCGAGTATGGCTCTACCTGTGTTTATCCTTTGTGGAGATTCTGGTGCCTGGGTCTGTCTTGGCACTGAAACTTGAGGGCTCTCGAGGAAAGGGTAAGACAGGCCACAGCTGGTTCTGTTCTGGTGGTGCTGAGGCAGCACTAGCTTTATGTCACAGCTTTACTTTCCCTATTTATTGGTGAATAATTTTTTTAAATTAAAAAAATTAATTTTATGTATATGAGTGCATTGCCTGCATGTATGTAAGTGCACCCATGTCATGCAATACTCACAGAGGTCAGAAGAGGACATTGGATCCCCTGCAACTGGAGTTATGGACGGTTGTTAGCCACTATATAGGTGTTAGGATTTGAACCCAGGTCCTCTGTAAGAGCAGCCAGTGCTCTTAACCACTGAGCGATCTCTCCAACCCCTGGTGAATACTTTTTTATTTTGTAGTGTTTGTAGTGATAAAACTCATTCTCTTTGGTTCTTTTGTGTCAGAAATATTTGCTTTAGGGACTGGTCTCAGTGGTTAAGAGCTCTTGCTGCTCTTGCAGAGGCCCCAGGTTTGGTTTCCAGCCCCCACATGGTGGTTCATAACCATCTGTAACTCCAGTTGGAGGAGATCTGATACCCTCTTCTGGCCTCTGTGGGTACTGGACATGTACATAGTACACATACATATATACAGGCAAAACATTCATACACATAAAATGAAAATAAAATTTTTTTTGTCTTTTTTTGAGATAGGGGTCTCCTTGTAGCCCCAGCTGTCTTGGAATTCACTATGTAGACCAGGCTGGCTTTGAACTTACAAAGATCCACCTGCCTCTGCCTCCCAAGTGCTGGGATTAAAGCCGTGCACCACCACACCCAGCTGAAAATAAATTTTGGAAAAATATTTTATTTTTATTTTATGTGTATGAGTGTATTGCCTGCATGTAGGTAAGTGCACCCGTGTTGTGCAATGCCCATAGGGGACGGAAGAGGCTGTCAGATCCCCTGGAACTGGAGTTACAGACAGTTGTTAGCTGCCATGTTGGTGCTGGGATTCGAACCCAGGTCTTCTGCAAGAACAACCAGTGTTCTTAACCACTGAACCATCTCTCCACCCCAAAAAATAAATTTTAAAAAGAAATACTTGTGCTGGGCGTCGTGGCGCATGCCTTTAATCCCAGCACTCCAGAGGCAGAGGTAGGTGGATCTCTGAGTTTGAGGCTAGCCTGGTCTATATAATATAGCGAGTTCCAGTCAGCTAGGGCTACCCAGAGACCCTATCTCAAAAATACAAAAAAAAAAAAAAAAAATTAAAGGCACAACACTCATACACATAAAATAAAAATAAATAAATAAGTAAATAAATTTTTTTTTAACAAAACAAGGTGTGGGTTGGAGAGTTGGCACAGCTGTTAAAAGCTCAGGCTTACAATAAAAAGTACAAGTGTTGCCAGGCGTGGTGGCGCATGCCTTTAATCCCAGCACTGGGGAGGCAGAGGCAGGCAGATCTCTGTGAGTTCAAGGCCAGCCTGGTCTACATAGTGAGTTCCAGGACCACTGGGGCTACAGGGAGACCCTGTAAGTGTGGGACTGCAGAGATGGCTCAGTTGTTAAAAGCATTGGCTGTTCTTGCAGAGGACCGGGTTCAGTTCCCACCACCACATGGCACAACCATCCATAACTCCATCCATTACCAGGAGATTGGATACCTTCTGGTCCACAGTCATTGAATGCACATAGTGCACTTACAATATGCAGGCAAAACATGCATACACATAAAATAAAAATAAATAAAATATTTAATTTTTTAATCTATTATTTTTATTTTATGTATATGCGTGTATTGCTTTCTGCATGCATTCTCCACCTAGCTCCTGTTGTGTGGCTGCCACTGGCATGGTGGTGGTGGGGGATGCATTGTTCTCACCCTCACCAGGTCTTGGTAAGCCTTCCACTGATTGCCATTTCCAAGGATGATTCCCAGTGATGCTCACAGGCACCTCAGTGTTTAGTTTCCAGCCTTGTCTGCCAGCACTTTGAAGAGTGTGTTTCTTCCCAAGCTCTGCTCTGGGGCATGCTTGTCAGTTCTATTCAGACAGCCCAGGAAATGCCTCTGCCTCCAGCTGGGATGTGGACACACCTCTCTAAGAAAGAATGACCTCCCATTTGGGAGAAGAAACTGTGTTCCAAGTTTTCTCCTTTCTTGAATATAGTTTATTACTTTATAATAATCCTATTATTGATCCTTTTTTACATACTTTTTATTTATTTTTATTTTTTAAAAATTTTATGTGTATGAGTATATTGCCTGAATATATGTGAGTGCACCTGTGTCGTGCAATGCCACAGAGGTGAGAAGAGGGCTTCGGATTACCCTGGAACTGGAGTTAAGGACGGTTTGTAGCCGCCATGTGGGTGCTGGGAATCGAACCTGGGTCATCTGCAGGAGCAATCAGTGCTCTTAACCTCTGAGCCATCTCTCCAGCCCCTATTGATCCTTTTTTTTTTTCTGGTCTTTTTTGAGACAGGGTCTCCCTGTAGCCCCAGCTGTCCTGGAACTCACAATGTAGACCAGGCTGGCCTTGAATTACAGAGATCCACCTACCTCTGCCTCCCCAGTGCTGGGACTAAAGGCGTGCACCACCACGCCCAGCATTGATTCTTTTTATACCAAACTTTCCCTGTTTAAATCATTGGACTGTGGCTAGTGATCCCTCTGGGAAGGAGGAAAAATCAAGTGGGAAAAGGGGCTGTGAAGCAAACCTACAAGCTTGACATAGTGCAATCAGGGAGCCCCTCACTGAGGAGGCAATGCATAAAGATCTATGAGGCAAGCCAGCAAGCATAGCAGTAACCAGGGGAGGTGCCTGAAAGGATACAGGGACAGTGTGAGCAATTGGCCCTGGGGGCAGGAGGTTATCATGACTGAAGCCAAATAAAATGAGTAGATGAAGTGAGATCAGACCACAAATAGCTTTGTGGGCAACAGCAAAGATTCTTGCTTTCATCTTGAGTGAGGCAGCAAGCCCTGAGGTCAGAGATGTGATCTGATCTATTTTAACTTGATCCCTTTGAATGCTATGCTGAATGGCCCATAGTAAGATCTCTATGATAGGGCTGGAGAGATGGCTCAGTGGTTAAGAACACTGACTGTTCTTGCAGAAGACCCAGGTTTGAATCCTAGCATCCCACATGGCAGCTAACAACTGTCTGTAACTCCAGTTCCAGGGGATCCGACAGCTTCTTCTGTCCTCCTTGGGCATTGCACAACACGGGTGCACTTACCTACATGCATACATAAAAAATAGTAAATAAAATATTTTTTAAAAATAAAAAGAATTCTACCATAAAAGTGGGGCCCCAGTCCAGGCTGAGCCAGGTCAGAGAAACTGGTCTTGTGGACTAGATACGAGAGTGGAGGGAACCGGCTTGCTAATGAATGCAGTGTGAATGGGAAAGGAGTAGGGTAGGCCATAAGTTTAAGGCCAGCCCGGACAACTTACCAAAACCCTCTGTCCAAAAAAAAGTATTTTGAGACAAGGATTCATGTAGTCCAGGTTGCTTTTGAACTCACTATGCAGTCAGAGCTGATCTTGAACTACTGTTCCTACTGCCTCAATCTTCCAAATGTTGAAATTACAAACCCGGCTCAAAGAAAAAACCAAACTCTTTAATGGGTCGGAGATGTAGCTCAGTGGTACAGTGCTTGCCTACCAAGTGTAAGGCGATGAGTTTAACCCCTAGTACTGCAAAAAGGGGGGTGGGGCACAGAACTCCTGCTGATCCAGGAACTCTGGCCTGAGCACAGAAACAGTGTTAAGGTCAGGGATGGGGTTGTACAGGCCCACATGCGGCAGAAGGACGAGCGGGTCACCTCCTGGATCTGATACCTCGGCTCGAGCCCTATTCTGCAGCACCTTCGGGTTCTGTAGGGCGGGGCTGTGAACACATTTGGTCCAGACAGCGCATCCTTGGTCCGCGGAGAGGCCAGGGCACTTTAACCGTGCTTCCTGGACACTCTCTATAGAACTTGCTGGGAGCTGGCCCTTTAGGTTAGGGTACTGAAGACATTTTTCCGAAAACCAGTCCAGGAGGGCAGGGGAAAGCAATCCTGGAGACCTGTGAGCGCCCCGGGAAGCCAGGTGCCTCCAATCAACTCTTCCAGACAAGGCATATCTGTTTGGTGCCCTCTGCTGACAAAGCTCAGCAGTGTCACCTCGTAGGGCTCAGACAGGGAAGGTCTTGTTATGTAGCTGAGGCTAGCCTCGAGATCCTCCAGTTTTGGTCCCCAGAGTGTACAGACACCGAGCTGCATTTTCGCACACCACCGAGAGGCTATAAATCCATAACTTACATTCTTTACTTGCTTGATATCTGTTTTCAACATTTTCCCACGGTTCACACGGCTACCGGAAGCCAGTCTCGTTTAGGGATTAATTTGAGCTCATGCCAACCTGAGTTGGATGGACGTGTTATTTGACGTGCAAAAGCACTGTGCATAAACTACCCGACATCTGGGGAGGGGGAAAAAAGGCGTAGTTGGCTCCGGGCCGGGTTCACAGACCGGATCTGCGCGCGCACCCCGCCGGTAGCTCCGACGCTGGC